TCCCAGTGCCAATCCATCGATCGATCTCACGATCTATTCTTCGATCTAAATGCAGGTGGTCTTATGACCCCTCAAGTTGCTGCGCAAGTTCTGGTAGTCAGCGTTTTCCCTCCATGCCATGTGACGTCTCTGACGGTGATGCCCCTGAGAAACGACTGCGGGACAAACATGGGACAACTTAGAACAAGCACAGACAACCGCAGGACAGCCACAAAACAACCATGGGACTACAACGGGGCAACCACAAAACAAACACGAAACAACCACAACACAACCCCGCAACAATTATGTACGGGACAACCACGGGACAACCATCGAACCAACCAGCAAAACAACCACCAATCGATCACGAAACAACCACGGGAAACCCACGGGACAACCACGGGAGAACTACAACACAATCGCGGGGCAACCACGGGACAACCACCGGACCAACACGAGACAACCATAGGACAACCCCAGGACAACCACGGGACGGCCGCAAGACGACCACGGAACAACCACAGAACGACCACGGGACGACCACGCCAACCACGGGGCAACCACGGAATCACCTCGGGACATCCACGGGCCGGCCGACAACCTGTGAACAACCACGCGGCAACCGCAAGACAGCCATAAAAACACCCACGGGACAACCACGGAACAACCACGGGACAACCACGGAACAACCGCAGGATAACCACGGGGCAACCACGGAATCACGTCGGGACAACCTCGGAACAGCCACGGGACAACGGGACAACCACTGATCAAACACGCGACGGCCACGGGACAACCACATAACAACCACCGGACAAATACGGAACAACCACGGAACAACCGTTGGACAACCTGGGCCACACCGCCAGGCTGTTGGGGGGGGAGCAATCTGATGCCAGCCTGCCCTAACAAGGCCAGGATCTGATTCGCCCTCGAACAGCTTCGCCTCGCTCGCCATACACGGCGCGACACGAACGGAACCCGATGCCCCAATTTTGTGGCGCCCTGTTTCATTCCGATCGAGAACCCCGACCTCCCATCACTTTGTCCACAGCTGTCCGGCCCGTCCAGCGCGACGCCGTTCTTCTTCGCCACGCGCCGCACCACGTCGAGCATCTGCGGGTGCGACAGCTGGAATTTCTTGTGCAGGGGGCCGCCGTACCACTTGGGAGGGTCCCACTGTTTCAGGAAAGAGGTCAGCTGCGCGCATTTGTCGGCGTGCGTCTTGCACTGCTTGTCCAGATTTTTGACAAAGAAAGAGCGGCATGAACATATTTTTTCGGAGGTCTGAACGGATTTCTCTTGGATCGGCGCTTGACCCCCCTGGCGGCGCCTCAGGCGCACCCCCGTGCGCGCTCCAAGCGCCAGGGAGGTGGGTCCAGCGCCAAGAAAAGAAGTCTGCACGGACCTCCGAAAGTTTATGTGTTGGCAGCTTTTCCTTTTTCGAAGATTCCCTTCGAGGACCTTCTGGAAATCCGCCTTCCGTGGCAACTCACGAGAGCCTCCGATGCTGTCTTGCTGGCTCTTGCGAATGGATGCTGACAGACGCAGATCGACGCCTGCCGACGCTGAAACGACGCTTAACATCGACGCTATCTCGAATCGACGCTAAACCGGCGGTGCCTCATCGATTACCAGACGCTAGCGCACGCGAGTGGACCCTGAAGAAGGAATTTCGAGGACATTCGAGGCTCCCGTGACTTGTTGCCCCAGACATGCGACGGAAGTCCCGACCCGTTCCCCGGGACCGGCTTTGCACCCCGAGTCGTTTCTTTGACGGTCCTTGGGCCCGGCAAGGGCCCCGAGAGGTCCAGCACGACAGACCGACGCTTTTACGACGCGAGCATGTCTGGGACCGAGCCCACCTCTGCGCCGCTGCCGCCACCCGCTCTCGCCTCACAGGCGGCGCCTCCCGTGGCGGCGGGGGCCGGCCGCTCTGGGGCGGCACCGCTGGGGGCCGAACTCCCGGCAGTGGTGCCGCCAGCCGCGGCCGGGCCCTCGTGGCCCGAGTCGGACGAGGATCCCGAGGAGTCGTCGTCGCTGTCCTCTTGGCGGAGGCGAGGACGACGACGAGGACGAGGACGAGGACGAGGAGGACGACGCCGACGCTAACGAAGACGACGACGCCGACGACGACAGCGACGGCGATGAACGACGACGATAACGACGACGACGACGACGACGACGACGACGACGACGACGACGACGACGACGACGACGACGACGACGACACCATGCCACCTGCGGGAGCCTCCACGGTTGGGGCCCGGCGGCCGGCCGCACGCCCTTGAGCGCCGCGAGTTCAGAAGGGGGCCGGGAGGCGACTACTGGGAGGGGGGTCTTCGTCAGAACGGCAGGGAGCGCCATCGTCCTCGTCCTCGTCCTCCTCCTCCTCCTCGTCCTCCTCCTCCTCCTCCTCCTCCTGGCAGTCTCCTCCCGGCCTGGAACGGCGGCTGCCTCCTGGCCGCAGCCTCCGCCCCTCCAGCGTCTTCGGGAACAAGGGGAAACTCCAGAGTAAGGGATATGAAACCCGATTCGGGGGCCATTGAGCCGGAGAAAGCCAGCTTGAGCCTGGGAGCAAACCGGATCAGGCGGGGCCACGTTTGATTGGGCCGAACGAAACCGGATTTACCATGATTGGGCCAGGGTCGGCTGGTCTTCGACCACGGATATACCAGCGCCGCTGCTGAATTAAACCTTCAGCAATTGCATCCTAGCGGGCGGAAGCGAAAGACGCACAGGCGGACAACGCGTGGAGAAGATACAAGTGGGAATATTTGAAGCAACTCTCGGAAGCTTGTGGCCGTGCCCATGGCGCCCCGAAGCGGACAGAATGCATCTCCCTCGCATGGCGCTAGCGGGCGCTATTGGTCTATATTGGGCATTAGTGAAACGCTGTTCGGCGCTACTGCGCGATATTGGGCGCTATGTGGCGACAATGAGAGCCGCCGCAAAAAATTCCAAGACGAGCGAAAGCTTCCGTGCTTTATCATCCAACCTCCAGACGGCCACGAAAGACGCACAGGCTGAAAGTGCGTGGAAAAGATGGATGGGGATCCATCCCGTGCCGCGCCTTTGCGCTCTCCCTCGAACAGCTCGAGACGGGGCCCCCACCCTTCCCACACCCCTGGGCCGCTTAGAACGAGCCCGAAGCACCAGCCTCGACCCAAGAACCTAATGGTCAGACGGAGGGGCGCGGATCCCCCGGCGGGTGGGCCAGGTGCTGACAACAGAGCCCCCCTCGGCTCGAGGTGTCCTCAGCTCTCAACATATTCCGAGGCCCTCCGAGACCCCTCTCGGCATCGCGGGTGATGTCTGGAGACGCGCTGAAACTAGCGCCGGAGTCATGCGCGCTTCGCAGGGGAGCCCGCCCGTGCCCATTTGGGCATGGCATGGAGGCCATACCCTCAGCAAAGATGCTGTGGATGTCATATACGCAGGTTGATGTTGTGTCGATCCCAGCGTTGGCTCCTGACATCATGTGCATCGTTCAACCTGGACCGATCGGCAAATTTTCGATCGCCAGATCGTCCCATACTGGCCAACTCTGGGCCCGCGGCGTTCAACCTTGAACCTCCGCGCTGGGGCCAGAGCCGCGCTTGACACGTCACGAGCCTTCCGCAGCCTGATCACCAGGAGGGCGGGCCGCGCATCTCGCCATGGCCGCCTCCCTGGAAAACCTGAGTAAGGGCCCCTCGGGGCAGGCGCGCCTCGGCCCCAAGAGGCACGCTCAAGACACATCCCCGGACCACTCAGGGGGGTTCATCCTTGCATTCCGAACGCCACCGCGCCGTGCGTTCTGAACGCGCCCGGTACACCGCGGTCAACTCTGCGTCCGAGGCAGAGTTTACCCTGGTGGCCGAAGCGCTCTCTCGAAGACGTGAGGCCGCACAGCGGAACAATCCGCGCTGTTTGACGGCCCCGGGGCCCGACGCAGGGCGGCCAGAAGCCGAAAAACCGCTGGAAAGCATCGCCAGGGGGCGCATTGGTCCCAAATCCGCTCGACACGACCCCCCGATGCCCCTCCTGGGGCCCATCCTCGCCAGCCGTGCTCGTCGTGGAACGATGCGTTCGACGGCCCTGGAGGGGCCCGGAAAAGGGGCGCGCAAAGGTCGAGGTCGATGAAAGAGACACCTGGCGCGAGTGCCTCGACAGCTGGCACCCTCCTTCTGGCTCCCTGCGCGGCCAGCCTTCCCTCGGCTCAGGCAAGAGAGCGCGGAGCAAGGCACTCGAGTGGAGGGCGGGGGCTCCCGCTTCGATCCGTCAGCCCCCCTCCTTCGAGAGCACAGAAGCCACCCTCAGACAGGCAAGGCCGTTTCGAACACGCATCCGAGAGAGGAGTCGAGCAGGGCAGGGCTATTTCGCAAACGCCAGTTACGTGTGGGGTAGAGGAGTTGCTCCTCCCCTGGCTCCTGGCTGCTCGAGGAGGAGCCACCCTCGACGGACCGCTGCGGCTCGCCGCCGTCGCAGTCGGCGGGGGCCTGAGGGCGGGTGGGGGCGCCCTGACCAGACCATGGAGGGGGCGGCCTGGGCTTTGCGTAGGGCTCCAGGGGTAGAGGAAGAACGGCATGAACAAAAACTAGATCCGCGCCCGTTCAAGAAATAGGGGCGGAGATCCGACGACTTAATATTGAGGGACGTGTTTCTTCTTCGATGTCCCCCGAGAGGGGGACATCCCCAGCCAACCCTGGGGAGTTTCCCTCTCCTTGGTCTGTTGAGGGCCAATTGTCCCCTGCAGTCAACGCGCTGCCATGAGGAACAGAAGGGCTTCTCGGGCCACGGCGGTCCTCGGTCGAGACGAGGCTCCCCGACCCAACTCTAGAGAGCGGCCCGAAATCCGGGGCCCAAACTGATCCGTAGTTTAGCGTCCTGACTGTGAAGCCATGCTGCCTGGCGGGAGGAGGGGGAGGAGGAGGAGGAGGAGGAGGAGGAGGAGGAGGAGGAGGGGGAGGAGGAGGAGGAGGAGGAGGAGGGAGGAGGGAGGGGTCAAGGAGGCAAGAGTAGGAGGAGGAGCGAAGAGGAGGGGGAAAGAGGTGGAGGGAAGAAGATCAGGGAGGAGCAGAAGGAGGAGGGAGGAGCAGGGAGGAGGGCAGAGGGCGGAGGGCGGAGGGAGGAGAAGGAGGACGAGGAGGAAGAGAAGGGCAGACGGCGGAGGGCGGAGGAGGAGGGAGGCGGAGCGTCCTCTGGAATGTCTGAACTCCTTACCTAGCCACCCTACGGGCCCTTCGGGCCGAATTGCCTCCAGAAGGGAGGTCCACAGCTTGACGCGCAGCCCTGGCGATCGAACGGGCGACCGCGGCAGGAACCGCTCCGCTGGTGCCCTCACGCTTCTCAAGATGGAGAAGACGGTGCAAGTGGAACATCAACGCCACTCCTCGAGTCGAATCCAGCGTGGGGACGACGAGGGCAAGGGCAGAGAGCGGGTCACTGGGCAACGGACGACCTAGGGCCACCCGCACCAGCTCGCGAAAGTGTTGACACCAGAAATAGTGCTTCAGGCTATCTGGGGCATCACATCCCAGACAGCACCTACGGTCCCGATTCTGGAAACGGGTGTCAGTGACCCATCCCCCGAGCCAAGTCTTGATGCATGCGCACCTCCAACTCGGGGGCGCACGCATCAGCACCTGCTCCACGTCGTGCCACACTACAGCCGCAGCCTCCAGGGGGGGCACTCCGAACCATTTGGGGAGCCTCTCCGAAATTAGGCCACTCAGATCCCCATCCCTGGAGGCCCGCAGGCCCACTAAAAGTTCACGCTGAAGACGCCTCCTCCGCCCGTCCTCCCACCGCCCCGCCCCACCTTGGTTAGAGGAAAGGAGAGGTGGAGCGCCGCTCTTTTCGAGCAGCTCGCGCCCCGCCACCTCCGCACGCGCCAGCGTGACGGCGGGGGCGGGCGACTCCCACCAGGATGGCCAGGGCTGGCCTGTCGTGCACCGCACCAGCGGCAGCCTGCGCGAGGCCACCCCACTCAGGTGCGCAGCAGCCCTCCGCCAGGTCTCGAGCGTCGAGAGGGCCGAGCGCATGAGGGACGCCGCCAGGAGGTCAGACGTTGGCGCACATCTTGGGCCCCCCAGCGTCTCGAGGTCGAAGGACGTGTTCTTCTTGAACAGGCTTCCCGAGCATCTGGCCAGCCGGCACAGCAGGAAGCGCTCATCATCAATCAGCTCGGACGGCATCGGCCAGAGCTGCGCCTTGTAGGCCAGGACGGGCTGGCACCGTCGACTGTACTCAAAGAAGACAGCCGCCATGTCCAGTGGCGAGGCCGCGAGCGCCAGGACCCTCTCGCGCATGCGCGCAAGTGGCGCAGCCCACTGGGCCGCAAGCGATGCACCAGGGCCCACAAGGCACCCCGGCAGCTCCACCGCCGAGGCCACGGTGAAGGAGCACCACCCGCAGGCCTCCTCCAGACACTTCCTCATCGCGTCCTCCACCTCCGCCGAGAACGGGGCCCAGAGCGGGACGGCCGCGCACTTCTTGGGCTGGAGCTGGAGGCCAGCGAGGCGCTCTGCGAGGCGGAAGATCCTCGCCGGGGTGCGGAGCCCCCGCCTGCAGTAGATCAGGGCCTGGATGTCATCAGCACACCAGCGGGTCATGCCAAGAGCCTTGGCCTCCAGCTGCTGCAAGTGCGCCTCCACGAACGGCTGCGCGCCGATCACGAACATCGTCCCAGAGAGCGGGTCCCCCTGCAAGATCCCGCACAGGATGACAAAGAGGACCCAGTGGCAGGGCCCCGCCTCCACGACCTCGACGTTGGCGCAAGACTCCTTCAGCAGGTGCTCCAGGCCGAGCGGCACCGCCCACGCCTCCAGGACCCACCACATCCAGTCGTGGAGGAGCGACGGGAAGGCGTGGGCGAAGTCGAAGCTCAGGAGGGTCGGCTCCTCCCAGCCACGAGCCTTCTCCAGCGCGCACATGGAGGCGACGCGGGACATCGCGTCCAGCTCCACCAGGTTCTCCAAGAAGTTCCGCCCCGTGATGAAGCCACGCTGCGCCTTTGATGCGCCACGGTCAATCATGCCCTTCAGCCTGAAGTTCGCCGCGGAGGCGATGGCCTTGGGGCCCGTGGAGCGCAGCATGAGTGGTCGGGTCTCATTCGGCTTCCTGGTGACCTCCATGCCATCACCATCCAGCACCTTCTTCGGCGGGAAGATGGCGATGCTCATGTTGAACTCCCTACGCATGGGGCGGCCCAAAGTCATCCACCTCATGGCCGCGAGGAGCACCTCAGAGCCCGCCGAGTGCATCAGCCACGCCCGCGCAGGCAGGCCATCAACCCCAGGTGCAGCAGGCCGCGCACGTCGCAGAGCCTCCTCGATGTGCATGGCCGAGGGGGGCGCCAGGGAGCTCCAGTCAACCTCCTTCATGCCGTACTCCGCGATGAAGACCTTGGAGCCCCGCTCACGACGGCAGCGCTCCGAGGAGATGCCCTCGGCTGCCAGGCACGCCGCGCGTGCAGGGGGGCAGAAGACCTCGCCCCAGTGGTTCGCCAGCGCCTCATGGATCTCGGCGGGCGAGGTGAGCAGCCTACCGTCAGGTGCTTCCACGGCAGCGAGATGCCGCCGCGGGAGGACCGACCACAGAGCAGCACGACGTTCCAGGGCACGGCGCTGACCAAGGAGACGACGGCGATCAGAGACACGTAGCTGCTCTTCATCAGCTTCAAGCTCCGCCTGGATCTCGGCACGCCTGGCCCTGGCCACGCGCCGCTGCGCCTGGACAAGGCGTCTGAGGAACTCCGCATGGTTCTTCGGCACCACCACGCCCTTCACCACATCTACAGCCATCAGCTCCTCCAGCCACGTGTGCCGCACGAGGAGCTTCTCCGCCAACGATACGTGTTGGCGCGCCACCACCCTTGCCACTTGCCTGGAGATCAGCGCCGTGCACCGCTTCGACCATGCCATGCCCTGCAGCTGCGCGTCCCGGGTCTCGGCCGCAGCCGCCTGCATGGCTCTCACGTGCACCTGGTGCATGACGGGCGGGGCGCGCATCGACAGGTCCAGCACCTCCACATACTGGGCCAGCTTCTCCTTGAACATGGGGGAGTTCACGATGTCCCGGGGGATCGGGGCAGGCCTGAGCGGGTCACGAGGACGCAGGGGGCGCCACATCCACGTGATCAATACAGGCGCGTGGTCGCTGATGTCCCTCCTGTGCAGCTCCTCTGGCTCACCAAGTACCTCACACTGCTGGCAGCGCTGGGCCACCAGCCAGGATGGGACGCCCAGGAAGACCCGATCGATCCTAGTCTCGAGCTGGAGGCCAGGATGCCAGCGGGTCGCACACGGCGCCACCATCTCCACAGCATCACTCAAGCAGCGCTGCCAGCGCTGCTCCTGCGGGTGCCGAGCAGCAGCAACAGAGCGTGGAGGAGCGTCATCGCCAAAATGGCAGTGCTCCAGCCTGTCGCCGAAGTTGAAGTCACCCACCACAAGTACCGCCGCCCTGACGGGGCCCAGCTTGGCCTCGAGGAGGTCGGCCGAGATCTTTGCCTGGACCCGTCGTTGCAATCCGCAGTCCAGACCATGGTTGTGAATGTTCCAGTGCGTAAGCGTGCATGGCCTCCCCCTGTCATCACTGAACTTGGCACAGATACGCATAACTCTGCCAGGCACCAGCATAGACGATTCCCACACCACGCTCTCATCATCATCAGCCCTACGCATAGGGAATAGAGTGGCCAGCCCTCCAGTATCCTCACGTTCTCCCTCGCAGAACGAGGTAAATACTCGGGCTCGAATACCCGCATATTTGAGCAGCTCAGTCAAGCGGATGTGCGAGCCATGCACCTCCTGCAGCCCCAAGATGACCGAGTCGCGTTTCCAAAACTTGGCAAGGTACTTCGCCCTCGCTTTCGCCGTAGCAGGCTTGAAGTGGCACAGCGCTCTAGCATTCCAAGTGGCAGTGGTGAGCACGAAGTCAGCCGCAGCAGCACGTGGACCGACAGGGGCATCACGTCCATGCCCCACACCAGCTCCCTGCGGGCTGATCTCATCCCTTGCTTTGAAGGCCAGACGTCCGGCCGGAAGGAAATTCGAAGAGGCCGCACCAGCTCCCTCTTGACCCCCATCTCCGTCTCGCCGTAGTCCTCCCTCAGCCTCCGCATCGCCCTCATCCCTCCTCCGCCGACCCCAGCGCGCCGCAGCCTTGTCAAAGGCACCACTCCGCCGTCGACGGTGCCAGGATGGGCGCCACAATCTGCTCCAGCTGCTCACGAGGAAGTTGGTGTTGGCGCAGGACAGCAGCGTTCCACTGGACAACCGGTGGGGGGCCTGGGCCCTCGATCGCAATCTTGACCAGGGGCTGCCACGCCATGGAGAGGGTCCCCTCCAGCTGGTCGGGGCCGACAGGGTCGACGAAGATACGCTTCGAGAGACCCTCCTCGAGCACCCTCCGCATCTTCTTGAGCGTGATCTCGTAGGACACCTGCCGCGAGTTCTTATCCTTGCTGAGGGGCAACGGCGCCGAGTGGCCAGTCGGTGTCGAGGCAGCAATCTGACGCCGAGTGCCTCCAGGCCCTCCACCTCGAAGCGTGGGCACCAGCTTGCGCACCCTACGTTCGGCCAGTCCCACATCTCCCTCCATCCTGACCGCGAAGCGCTGGCCCAAGTCATCGCCCTCGACCTTCGCGACCTCTGTGAGCTGCGCGTCCGCCAACACAGGCGCCATGGCGCGCTCCACCGCCGCGCGCATGAGCGGGGCCTTGGAGGTGACGACCATGACCGCGCGGTCGATCGCCCTGCTCCAGGCAGGCCCAGCCTCAGGCGGGGGTGGAACACCCGCAGCAACCACTCCGAGCTCACGTTGAAGCTGCGCCAGGTCCGCCGTGTGCTTCGCCATGATTATGTCCGTCTCCTTCTGCCTCCTACGCATCTCGTCCTCGAGCCGCCTGATGTCCTCCTCTTGCTGCTGTTGGACGCGCTCGACCTTCCCCTGTCTGCTCTCGAGGAGGGCCGTGCGGCGCTCAAGAGCGCGTTGGATGCCGTCGAGACTCTTGTCCATGTTCTGCAAGAGGCGCTCCTGGCTGGAGCGCACCTCAGCGAAGAGCGACTCCCGCAGGAGGGCGATGGCCGCCGCAGCCTCGGGCGGCGCGCCATCCAGCCCAGCGGTGTCCTCCCCCAGGACGGGCGTGGCCATGCCGCCCACAGGAGTGCAGGGGGCCATCCGCTGCGCACCGTGCCCCACGGGAGCAGCACCAAGGCCAGCAGCAGCCGCCGCCCACGGGTCGTGCGAGGCCGCCGCCGTCTGCGAGGGCAGCGTGGGGCAGGCCGCCTCCGCCTCCAGGAAGGCCGCCTCCTCAGCTTTGAGCGCAGCCAGGGCCGCCCTCTTGGCCTCCTCTCGCTCCGCCTCCACGTCTCGGGCGCGGTCGCGGGACTGGCGCCCGCTGCGCCTGCGGCGGCGCCTCTCCCCGCTCCTGGACTTCTCACGGGAAGACAAAGAGGAGCCGCCAGAGGAGGGCGCACGGCCAGCAGCACCAGGAGCGCCGCCATCACCCACATGCGCACCATCCCTCGCAGGACCCATGGCTTCTCAACTGGAAGCGTTCGGGCCGACAGGAAAGGGAAAGACCTCCGTTTACCCACCGACCTGAGCGCTGGTGGGGTGGGCCCGAGATGACGCCAGACTTCAAGAAGTCTTGCCAGCCGCGGACTAGCGGTATCCGCTTGGTTCCCTGGGGACACCTGCATCTTGAGCCAAAATGGCTACGGACGGAGGAGGAGGGAGGAAGAGAAGGAGGAAGAGGAGGAGGAGGAGGAGGAGGAGGAGGAGGAGGAGGAGGAGGAGGAGGAGGAGGAGAGAGGAGTAGTGTAAACCCACAAGTCATCAACGATGTTGGAATTAGCCCTCCCACCAAGCTCGCTCTTCATAGGCCCCTACAAAGGTTTATTTCCACCGGGGGAACTGCCTCGTTGGAAGACAACCGTTTGAAAACCCTGAAGCATTCCAAAACATGGTTCTCGGGATTCCAACGCCACAAGTCAACCTGACTGTCGCGTCTTGACGATCCTGAATCGTGTCATAATGCCATGCCTGGGACTTCAACACCGCGAATCAACGTACTGTTGCCCCCTCATAATCCTGAATCCTTCCGAAACACTATTTCTAGTACGTCGATCACGGGAACCCGTGAAACTCTTGCACATTACAAGCGAATGTTCGCGGCGCTAAGGCGAGAACCACATTCTGAAAAGGAACCGCCCTCGATATGTGCAACTCTCGATTATTTGCGCAAAAAAGCGCATGAGAAAACCCCAATCAGTTGATGCTTTGAAAATTGATACTATGGATCTTGAGATCGCTTGTGAGATCGATAGTGCGATCGATAATGGAATCGATAGTGAGGACGATTGTAAGGTCGATCGTGAGACCGCGAGTGCAATCGATCCAATGAGATCGATCGCGAGATCGCTCATGCGATCTCTAGTGAGATTGATAGTGAGATCGATAGTGAGATCGATGGTGCGATCGATCGAGAAATCGGTAATGACATCGATGGTGAGACCGATCGATGAGAAGATCGACCAAAAACCCCGGAACCTGGGAACCTCGCCGAAATCCGAAATCGGCCTGGAACCGGGAACCCGGGATAACCCGGAACTGGGAACCCGGGAATCCAGCGTGCAACCAAAATCGGCGGGGCACTTTCGCCAAATCCTTCAACATCCGCGAGGACCCCTTCAGTGCAAGCACTGATTGGGGAACAAATGTGCGCGGCGCTACGGCGATAGCCGCATTTTGAAAACGATCCGCCTTCAATCCGCGAAACTCTTACAACTTGTCAGAACGAACTACACCTGAGAAAACCCCAATCTGTAGATGGTTTGAAAATTGATACGATGGATCTTGAGATCGATTGTGAGATCGACAATGAGATCGATAGTGGGATCGATAGTGAGGACCATTGTAAGGTCGATGGTGAGACCGAGAGTGAAATCGATCAATTCAACGAGATCGACAGTGAGATCGATCGCGAGATCGCTCATGCCATATCTAGTGAGATTGATAGTGAGATCGATAATGAGATCGATGGTGCGATCGATCGAGAAATCGGTAATGAGATCGATGGTGAGACCGATCGATAAGAAGATCGACAAGGAACCTAGGAACCCGGGAACCTCGCCGCCCTCCGAAATCGGCCCGGAAACCGGAACCGGGAACCCGGGATAACCTGGAACCGGGAACCCGGGAACCCAGCGTGCAACCAAAATCGGCGGGGCACTTCCGCCAAATCCTTCAACCTTCAACATCCGCGAGGACCCCTTCAGTGCAAGCACAAATTGGGGAACAAATGTGCGCGGCGCTACGGCGATAGCCGCATTTTGAAAACGATCCGCCTTCAATCCGCGAAACTCTTACAACTTGTCAAAACGAATTACACCTGAGAAAACCCCAATCTGTAGATGGTTTGAAAATTGATACGATGGATCTTGAGATCGATTGTGAGATCGTCAATGAGATCGAAAGTGTAATCGATACTGAGGACCATTGTAAGGTCGATAGTGAGACCGAGAGTGCAATCGATTCAATGAGATCGATAGTGAAATCGATCGCGAGATCGCTCATGCGATCTCTAGTGAGATTGATAGTGAGATGGAATGTGAGATCGATGGTGCGATCGATCGAGAAATCGGTAATGAGATCGATGGTGAGACCGATCGATAAGAAGATCGACCAGGAACCCGGGAACCCAGGAACCTCGCCGCCCTCCGAAATCGGCCCGGAACCCGGGACCGGGAGGGAGCCCGGGAACCCAGCCTACCACCAAAATCGGCGGGGAACTTTCGCCAAATCTTTCAACTTCCGCTAGGACCCCTTCAGTGCAAGCAATGATTGGGGAATGCGCGCGGCGATACAGCGAGAGCCACACATTGAAAACCACCCGCCCCCGATCCGTGAAACGCTTGCAAACTGCAAACTTTTAAAACGAATGTGCGCGGCGCTCAGGCGAGAGCCACATGTTGAAAAAGACCGGCCTCCATCTGTGAAACTGTTGCCCATGTTTAAGCTTCAGGGTCATAGATGGTGGGGAAATCTCCAGCGAAACGCCCGGCCCGCTCTAAAAACTTGCCTCGGGGTGCGACAGGGAGAAGCTATTGATAGGAAAAAGAAATGGAGGAGGAGGAGGAGGAGCAGGAGGAGGGAGGAGGAGGAGCAGGAGGAGGAGCAGGAGCAGGAGGAGGGAGGAGGGAGGAGGAGGAGGGAGGAGGAGGAGGAGGAGGAGGAGGGAGGAGGAGAAGGGGGAGGGAGGAGGAGCAGGGAGGAGGAGGCGGGATTCGGAGGGAGGCTCCCTGCCCCCGAAGGGTGAGGGGTCTCCCCGCGTCTCGACTGCCAGGGGCCTGCTGCCCGGCGTGGGCCCCCGGAGGAGCCGCGGCGGCGCCCCGCGACTCCGCGGCCGCGGGGGCGGCGGCCTCGGCAGAGAACGCTTCGCTGGGGTCGGTCTGGGCCGCGGGATCGACCCTGAGATCCCATGAGCATCGTCTTGCGGATCCCCATCCCCGCCAGCGTGGGCTGGGCCCCCGATGGGGATATCCGCCCATGCGGCGTGTGAGTTTGTCAGAGCGTGGGCTTGAGCTCGCTCAAGCTTCGCTCTGGAGAGGGGGGGGGGGACGAATTCCAACGGAATTCAGTGAACGCACAAGCTCTGGAGAGGGGAGGGGGGGGGGTTCGCTCTGGAGAGGGGGGGGGGGACGAATTCCAACGGAATTCACTGAACGCACAAGCTCTGGAGAGGGGAGGGGGGGGCACGAATTCCAACGGAATCCACTGAACGCACAAGTCCCCGAGGGCTGATGGGGGGGGACGAATTCTAACGGAATTCACTGAACGCACAAGCTCTGGAGAGGGAGAGGGGAGGGAGGACGCTTCGCTCTGGAGAGGGGGGGGGACGAATCCCAACGGAATTCACTGAACGCACAAGCTCTGGAGAGGGGGGGACGAATTCCAACGGAATTCACTGAACCCACAAGCCCCCCCCCGCCTCCCACACATACCCACTTCTCTCGCTCCGAAAGGCATCTTCTTCTCTGACCCCCCCGTCCCCGACAGCCCCCCCCAAAAATAGACCCCCCCTTCGTGTGAGTTTGTGAGAGCGTGGGCTTGAGCTCGCGCAAGCTCCGCTCTGGAAAGGGGGGGGGGACGAATTCCATCGGAATTCACTGAAGGCACAAGCTCCCCCGCCTCCCCCCCCCCCCCACACACACACACACACTTCCCTCTCTCCGAGAGGAATCTTCTTCTCTGACCCCCCCCTTTCGACCGCCCCTCCAACAAAAAAAATCCCCCCCCCTTCCGGCATATCCCTTTCCGCTCTCCCGCTTTCTCTCCTACAGACCCCACCCGCCTCCAGTACCCCCCCTCTTCCGACATATCCCTATCCGCTCTTCCGCATTCTCTCCTACAGACCCCCCCCGCTCTCACAGACGCCCCCCATACTCCGACAGACCCCCCCCTCCAGGACAGGCCTCACCTCTCCAAGAAATCTCCTTCCTTCCGACAAAGCCTCTCTCCTCGCCATTCAGGCCCGGGAGGGAGGAGGGGGGGAGGGGGCTGACGCCATTCAGGCCCGGGAAGGAGGAGGAGGAGGAGGAGGAGGAGGAGGAGGAGGAGGAGGAGGAGGAGGAGGAGGAGGAGGAGGAGGAGGAGGAGCAGGAGCAGGAGGAGGAGGAGGAGGAGGAGGAGGAGGAGGAGGAGGAGGAGGAGGAGGAGGGAGGGGGGGAGCTGACGCCCGTCAGGCCCGGGAGGGAGGAGGGTGGGGGAGGCTGTGCTCTGTCTGTCGAGGGGAGGGGGGGGGGGGGCTGACGCCATTCAGGCCCGCGAGGAGGGGAAGAGGGGGGGGGCTGACGCCACTCAGGCCCGGGAGGGAGGAGGGGGGGGGGCTTCGCTCTGTCGGGGGGGGGCGGGGGCTGACGCCATTCATTCAGGCCCGGGAGGGAGGAGGGGGGGGGGTGTTCTGTCGGGGAGGGGGGGGGGGGGGGGCTGACGCCATTCAGGGCCGGGAGGGAGGAGGGGGGTGGGGGGCTGACGCCATTCAGGCCCGGGAAGGAGGAGGAGGGGGTGGGCATTCGCTCTGTCGGGGGGGGAGCGCTGACGCCATTCAGGCCCGGGAAGGAGGAGGGGGGGGGGGCTGACGCCATTCAGGCCCGGGAGGTAGGAGGGGGGGGGGGGGGAAGGGGGGAACGCTATGGGCAGGAGAGGGGGGGGAACTCCATGGCTGACGCCATTCAGGCCCGGGAGGAGGAAGTCGGGGGGAGGGGGGGAGGGAGCTGACGCCATGGCTGACGCCATTCAGGCCCGGGAGGGGGATCTGGGGGGGAGGGAAGGAGCCCTGACGCTATTCAGGCCCAGGAGGGAGAAGTCGGGGGAGGGACTGACGCCATGGCTGACGCCATTCAGGCCCGGAAGGTGGGAGGGGACATCCCATGAGTTTGGCTGTTCACGCGAGATCGTCATTTTCGAATATCCGAAGGTTGCCCAAGCGAGTTCAACATCTCTATCTTATGAGGATGTCTCGAGCGAGTGCTCTTCTTTTAAACATAAAAGGTCCTCCGTTGCAAGCAGAATCGGTAGCACCCCGGATCGGCGGCACTGGCCGGAGGCCACTACAATAGGCTGCTCTCCTCGGGCTCCGAGGGGCATATCCCCATCTGAGGTGGTGAGACGGTGGGGCTCGAGATGTGGATGGGGATGGGGATAGGGATCGATTCAACGATACTGGTCCCAGATGGCATCAGGTAATAAAAACACGCGACGGACAGCTATTTCCTATTTCCGGACTCCGTGGGCCTCGGAGCCGTCAAAGAACGACTCAGGGTGAGAAGGCGGTCCCAGGATGAGTCGAGACCTCCAGGGGTGAACTTTCCTGGGGATACACTCTCGTTTCACTACCTTTGGACGTTGCTCAACGGGGGGGCTATGGACGAGGGGGTGAGGAAACGTGCGCCTTTCGTGCCCCCTGGGTCCCAGTTGGCCTCTCAAGGGCCCCGAAGGTGCACGAGCGGTGTACCTGTCTTCACCCCCATCATCCATTGCCCTCCCATTACGCAGCGCCTGACACGCGGGTTTTCGGCCAAATCTCCAGCCCCGGGACCCTCACCAGATCGATCCGGTTCGAAAAATGAGGCAGACAGATGGGTCCGTGACTCATGCTGTGATTTGTTTTCGATGTTGCACTTTTTCATTGCACAACGTCGGACCTGAGGGAAGGGATCCATGAATCGAGGTGAGAAGGCCTCGGGTTGCGCAAAAAAACAGCCTCCCAGGTAGTCCCGGCTGGCCTCAACAGGCCGTCCGAATAGTCCTGGCTGGCCTCAAAGGGTCGCCCGAGGAGTCCTGGCGGTCTCAGCACCCTGGCGCCGCATCCAGCGGCGCCCCTGGGGTGCTCCGCGTCCCAAGGTTGAGTTGTTGAGACCGCCCTCGACTACCCGGGGGGCTTGTCGAGGCCAGCTGGGACTACCTCGGGGGCCTGTTGAGGCCAGGCAGGACTACCTGGGGGGCTGCCCTTGCGCAACCTAACGTCTTACGAAATCGAGGGGGATGGACTTGGAAGTGATGCAGACTCGCTTCAGGAACGCGCCCCAGTCCGATCGGCGGAGCTCCGCCGGGGTCGCTCTGGGCCGGGGTCTCGTTCAAGGACGGCACCCCCACCAGAAAGCAGAACCACCACCACCACGGAGGAGGAGGAGAAGGAGGACTTAGCACTTGGACTAGCAGAGCCGCTTGGCAAACGCACGCAAGGAAGGGGTCGAGCAGGGTGCGGCTGCTTGGTAAACACCCAGGGCGGTCTAGTATACGCCAACGCTGGGCGTCAGGGTGGTGTGTCCTCCCCCTGCTCGGGAGAGAGCTTCGCCGGGGTCGGTCCAAGCCGTGGGCCGAGGGATCGCAGATCGATGGGTGGGGGATCCAGATCTGATGTAAGGGAGGAGTAAGGAGCAGGGAAGGAATTCATGAATGCCCTTCATCGTGCCGAATATCTCCGATTCCTTGTTGTGCACAAGACTTCCGTACTGTCAACAAGTTGGCCAGCGTGGACCCCAAACAGTGGCGTCTTGCAATCTGTGCGGTGCACGTTAGGAGGCACAGTCCACGTGGTGCAATCTACGCGGCGCAAACCAATCCAACGCAATCCAAAGCAATGCAACGCACTGCGAAGGCACGCAAAGCGAAGCAGCGCAATGCAAAGCAATGCAATGCAACCGCATGCTAAGCAATGTAATGTAATACAGAGCTACGCAAAGCAATACAAGGCAACGCAGAGAAATGCAGCACAAAGCAATGACAAACAATAAGAAATAATGCAAAGCATTGCAAAGCCGTTCACAACCATGCAGAGCCATGCAAAGCAATGCAATACAATGCGATTGCAATACGCAGCAATCCAACAGCGTCGTTTGCGACGGGCGGCGACGGGTGGCGACGAGCCGGTCGGACCAGCACTGAGGCTCAGTTACTGGCAGCAATGGCGGCGGCGACGGGCGGCAACGAGTCAGCCAAACCGGCACCGGGGCCCAGGTACCAGCGGCGACAGCAGCGGCGACAAGGGCAACGAGCTGACCGAACCCGCACTCGGGCTCGGCTACCTTAGAAAACCAATACGAACTCCTCAGTGCAAGCACTGTTCGGGAACAAACCGAGCGGACGAAGATGTGCTAGAAATCGGCAGGAGGTTTGCCTAATCGGCGAAACATTGCCAATGCCAACGAACCCACCGACCCAGAACTCCGAACCTCCCATCGGGCAGGGAGCATGGAGGAGGAGAAGGAGGAGAGAGCCGGGAGCAGTGATGATAATAGGAGGAGGAAGAGAAAGAGGAGGAGGAGGAGGAGAAGGAGGAGGAGGGAACAGGGACGAGGAGGAGGAGGAGGAGGATGAGGAGGCTCAGGGATCGAAGATCGAGGATGACGGAGCAGGGAGGATGGAGAAGCTCGGGATCGAGAATCGTTGGGATGGATTTGGATAAGATGTGGACTAGGTTAGGCAACGCGCCCCTACTCCAATAGGCAGATCTGGTCCAGAGCAAACTGGTCAGAGGGCAGAGTTCAGAGCAAGCGCAGGGCGTCACAAGGAGCTTGAGGTACATCAGCCCCAGCCCATATGCTGAATCCAACCCGAGGCTCGAGGATGGGGACGGATCGAGAACCGAGGATGCGTAGTCGGAGAAGTGGGCGGATCGTGGATGGGCCCTGGTGGCTTTTGCTGCTGCTCCTCCCCCTTCTTCTCCAGCTGACCTCTGGTTCAGTAGGTCTCTTGACCCGCGGAGAGGGAAGGAATGGACGAAAGGGGAACAGGGATGGCAACATGAGAGGAGGGACGTACGTGAAAGTGGGGAAGGGACAGAGGGAGTCATGAGGGAGTACAGCGGTTGGGAGAAAGAGGTAATAGCGGTGAGGAAGAGTGAAAGGAGGCGAGGGAG